AGTCGACTTGAGGAGTGGATATCATCAGATCTGAATCAAACCCGGCGACGAGTGGAAGACCGCATTCAAGAGTAGTGAGGGACTCTACGAATAGTTAGCGATGTCTTTTAGGTTGTCGAACGCTCCAAGCACCTTTATGTGTTTGATGAAACAAATTCTAAAGTCTTTCTTAGGAAGGTTTGTAGTGATCTATTTTGATGACATTCTCATCAAAAGTCAGGATGAGCAGGAACATATGCTGCATCTCCGAGAGGTCTTCCAAGTGCTAAAGGAGAATGAGTTTTACATCAACCTTAAGAAGTGCATGTTCTTGACGACTCAACTTGTGTTCTTGGGATTCGTGATGAGCTTGCAAGGAATTCAGGTCGATGAAGATAAAGTTAAGACAATCAGAGACTGACCGACTCCAAAAAGTACTACTAAAGTAAGAAGGTTTCATGGATTAGCGTCTTTTTATCGACGTTTCATTCGTAATTTCAGTCCTATAGTTGCTCCCATGACGGATTGCTTGAAGAAGAAGGGCATTTTTAAGTGGACTGATGAAGTAAATGCAGCTTTTGCCCTTATCAAGAAGAAGATTATCACTGCACCTATATTGGCGTTTTTAGATTTCGACAAACTCTTTGAGCTTGAGTGTGACGCATGTGGTGTGGGTATTGAAGCAGTCCTCTCTCAAGAGAAGCGTCTCATTGCTTTCTTGAGTGAGAAGTTGAATGAAGCTCGACAGGAGTGGAATACTTATGAGCAGGAGTTGTATGCTGTTTTCCGTTCTTTGAACATTTGGGAGAGTTACCTCATTGCTAACGACTTCGTGATTTACTCCGATCATCAGTCTCTTCAACACTTCAATTACCTCATTGCTAACGACTTCGTGATTTACTCCGATCATCAGTCTCTTCAACACTTCAAGAATCAGAAGCATATCAACAAAATGCATCTTCGTGATTTACTCCGATCATCAGTCTCTTCAACACTTCAAGAATCAGAAGCATATCAACAAAATGCATAGAAGTTGGGCTTCGTATTTTGAGCAGTTTAATTTTACTTTACAACATAAATCAGGAGTCGACAATAAGGTACCTGATGCTTTGAGTCGACGGGTATCCTTGTTGAGCATATTGCGAGGTGAAGTTGTTGTTTTTGACAGTTTGAAAGAGCTTTATATTAATGATGAAAACTTTCAGGAGATTTAGGCCAAGTGTTTGACAAGACAACCCACAGGAGACTATGTTATCATGGACGGCTTTCTATTTAAGGGGAATCGACTTTGTATTCTAACGACATCATTGAGAGAGAAAGTAATCCGAGACTTTCATGGTGGTGGTCTTGGCGGATATTTTGGACGAGATAAGACTGTTTTGAGTCTTGAAGAGAGATACTATTGGCCAAGTTTGAGGAAGGATGTGGCAACACTTGTGAGAAGCTGTCAAGTGTGCCAAGTTGCAAAGGGGCAAGTACAGAATACAGGTATTATACTCATTTACCTGTGCCCAAGGATATATGGAAGGATTTGAGTATGAACTTTGTGTTGGGACTTCCCCAAATACAAAGAGACGTAGATTCAGTCTTTGTGGTAGTGGATCGTTTTTCTTAGATGGCTCACTTCATTCCATATCGTAAGACTTCGGATGCACCACATTTTGCACGGCTATTCTTTCAAGAAGTGGTTCGGCTACATGGTATTCCTAGTTCGATTGTTTCGGATAGGGATACTAGGTTTTTGGTAACTTTTTAGGGTACTTTATGGTGACGATTTGACACTTCATTAAAGTATTCGAGTGCAGCCCACCCTCAGACGAATGGACAAACAAAAGTAGTCAATCGAACTTTGGGGAACTTGATTCGATGCATATGTGGAGAAAAGACAAAAATGTGGGATCAAGCTATACCACAAGCTAAATTCGCCTACAACATAATTATTCATAGTTCCACAAGTGTGTCTTCTTTTTCTATTGTTTACAGGAAGACACCTCGACATCTCCAAAACTTGTCGAAGCTGCCGACAAGTAGCAAGTTCAGTGAGGCAGCAAGTTCAATGACGGAGAATGCTTTCAACGTTCAGGAGGAAGTGACAAAGCTTGAGAAGGCTAATGCAAAGTTCAAGGCGCAAGCGGATAAGAAGAGACGACTCAAAGTGTTCAATGAAGGAGATATGGTAACGGTGTACCTACGGAAGGAACGAATGCCGTCTGGAACATACAGCGAGCTTAAGCCGAAACGATATGGACCGTTCAAGATTCTCAAGAAGATCAATGACAATGCATATGTAGTGGATCTTCCATAAGGAATGGCTATGCCGAGGACATTCAACGTGGCGGATATTTCTGGCTATTATCATTCAATCGAGTTGTATGCAAGTGATGCGAACTCAGAGACGAGTTCTTCCGAAAGAAGGGCTGATACAAGAGATCAATTAATTGGACAAGTAATTGGACGAGACGACATCTCAACTCGTCCAATATCCGACATCTCAACTCAATACAAACCAAGTCATCTCAGCGGACGAGATGACATCGGAGCAGACATTTCAGCGGACGAGACGAGATCTCAACAGACGAGACGAGACGAAGCAGGCAGAACGAGACGACACATGTCAGTCAACACAAAAACGGTACTAGTCGACACGCTTAGTATCGACTGGAACAGCAGTTAGGAATACATGCCCCGTCAACACGAAAGGCGGTACTAGTCAACTCGCCTCGTGTCGACTCGGATATCAGATTAGGAAAGAATTTGTTTTTTGTTATTTTCTTTTAGAAACAGTTTTTTTATTAAAGTTAGGATAGGTTTAGTTGGCTATATATAATAGTTCCTTTTATAAATCAATAATTAACTTTTTAATTATTCAATCATGAGAATTTTTCTACATTGTTTTTTTTCTCAAGTTTGAGAAACTTCTGGCTTGTGGATTCAAGCTCGTGAATTAACTGTTATTGTCAGGGCTCTTCGGCATCAAAACGATATCTGATCGGCCTCCCCATTTCTACGTCTGCGTCAAGTTTATATATGCAAAACTTTTCAGACAATGTATATAGTGGTTAAAAAGATATTGACTTTAATGTACTATTTTTTAAAAATTATATTTAATGTGAACCCAGCATATAATTTTGACTATGGTCATCATAATTTTAATACGTTTGATTGATTGACTATATATATATATATATATATTACTTTACTTTCTCACATGAGCTAATATTTTGCGCTTAATAATTTAAATTATTACTTTTAAATTTAATATAAAGAGGAGCTCTAATAACATTTATTTATTTACCTACAGGATAATACAATCTCAATTTCTATTTTTTCTTGAGATTTATTTCATAATTACGCATATCAAATTAGTAACTAAAATAAAAATTATTTATGCTTAAATTAAGATGATTGTAGTTGGTCACTCACTATGAAATTTTCATGAAGATATATAACTTACTTTTTATAGCTATTTGCATTGCTCATGTATGTTTTATAAATTAGTTGTTAATCTGACATATTAAATTACTTTTCCTTTGTAGAAATTTCTTCTTTGACTTTTAAATTGTGTAAACACTATATCATCATTCTAGCGTAGAAAGAACCTCACTCTAAATGGTTTCAAGCTAATTTTTAAGTTGAATTGAAGTATATACTATTGCTACTATGTATATATATTTTTTAAAAAAATCATGTTAATACTTTTTAAACAGAAGAGAATATTCTAATCTCTGATATTATAAAAACTAAATATAACCAATTGAATGATTAGCAAACAAGAACTGACATCTGAAAAGTGTAAATAATAAGATAAAGAGGAAAGATAATGGGATTACCAACAGTACTATAAATAGCAAACTACAATGTAAAGTTAACCATTTTGTGGAGCCCAGCTACTGGCTATAAGCATCGATGTTTTCATATATATACTTTATAATTTATTAAAAAAAGTCATATAATCTTATATAATAAAATTGATTTAATACTGAATAGTAATAAACTAATATTGTTGTAATACTATCGTTATTAGAGAAATTTTTTTATAAACCAATATGTTCTTTACGATATATAAGCTATGCACTATAAATTCGTGTGTATTTTATAGAACTAAAAAGTTTGAATACGAGCCTGTAACATGTTGCTCTCACAATAGCAAAATCCATTTAACAGATGTGGATATTTCAAAAGAGTTATATATCCTATATACAATACAATTACCCTAGACAAGTGAGTTATAATAGCATTTTTTATACAATTACCCTAGACAAGTGAGTTATAATAGCATTTTTTATTCACATCGTTTAGGGTAAGATTTGATAGGGACCTTGCATCAAAGAAAAAAGAAATTTTTATATTTAGAGCATATGACGAAATATATCATAATCTTCCTACTCTAATTTCGTAAGAAAATAATTCTTCATACTCTCAGTTTTACTTCTATAATACAGAGAATGAGGTTTAAAATTGAATGAGAATATTAGATAACATAAATATGAGTGAAATCACAACTAAAAGTTAATGTGAATATGAGTCAAATCACAACTAATAGTTCAATGGACATATCGCAACTAAATTTATATGCAAAATTCCTTTGTGAATTGAATAATTACCTATCTTTTGAAAACTTCAAGATACTAATAAATAGAGATGTTGTACTAGATTAATGTGTTTATAACTCATAAATAGTAGATCACATGGCCACTAGGTTAAAAGAAACAACGATAATATTTCATTTGAGAGAGATTCTTGAGTTGATGATCAATCCCACAAAAAAACTTTGTTTTCTTTTTTTTATTTTTACTCTCTTTTTATTAATTTAAATAATCATGATATTCAACCACATGCATTGCACGTGCATCTCAACTAGTATATAAAAGTACCCAGAGATTACTTTATCGGTCATGATTAACACAGGTGAAACTCTCTTCACCTGGGCCCTTTAGATTTGCATGGTTCATATTAGTCATAATAACAGCATCCACACGCATCTATGCCAGAGTAAAATGACTAACTGGAAGCATGCATACCTGAATTGGTGCTAATCTGGGAGGAAGCATTAGACCAGCATCATCTCCGTGGGTCATGATAATACCACCAACAAAACGAGTACTGATAGCCCAGGAGGTCTGCCATATATATTTTCTTTGTCCATTTTCATCAGTGAACTGTCAGTTACATAAAAAAAACACATAAATTACATTCAAAAACAGCTATAAGAAAAAGTACATAATAGTTATTACGGAAAACAACTCCAATCCTTGGAATGGAATAATAACTTAATTCAGCATGAAGACATTTAGAAATTTAACCATTTTCTAACCTAAGCTCATGAAGCAAGAAACTTAATAGCAATAATAACTTACAGACAGCCAACTCCAAGTAACGATGATTGACTAATGCAACAGCAGTGCTGCATAGGAATCAAATTTTCCTTGCTTTTTTGTGAAATTCATGGACATCAACTTATCATCCAAGGCAACCTAACCTTCAGATACAGGAGGCGACAGGCATGAGATGTTTTAAAATTATTATTAGGTCCATCTTTTGTGCTAAATTTGTCATCCAAGGCATAAGTTGCAGGAAAAAGAAGAATTCAAGACAACACGATAGAATAATGCACAAGTGTGTTTCTAACTCTACTGAATTTATATCAGTAAAAAAAATTATCTGATTTTTCAGGAGGAAGATATCTAATTTGTGTATCTCATGTAAATGATGACCAAAGTTCTTAATAATGAATCAGTATCAGTCCCATTCTTTATGATATACAGGCTTCTTCACAAGTTTTCGGTGGTCCTACTTTGTCATTGTCTTCTCATCACCGGAATTATCTTTGTCCCCTCTCTCTCTTTCTTGAGTTATTAGATTCTTATTCCCTTCTGCTAAGAGAAACTTTTACAATTAAACAAAAGAAGCAAATGCTGGAGTTAACTGATATAAACGGAATAACCTAGAATGTTTTCCATTAATAATAATTATAATCATAAATGAGTATTTGACATATAATCCCCATGAAACTAAGAAAGCCACAGAACATTAAGATTTAGGAAAAGCTGTATCACAAGACATAAAAAACAGGCTGTCATTGATAGTTATCAAGCTTAAAACCAAAACTCAACTATCCATACATCTTATGCAAATGTCTATTAATAAAATAACTTCATATAGACAACAAAAGACAGCTCATATCTGAAGTATAAATTGGTGAATAACCTGTGTACCAAAGGCACGAGAAAAGTTTTGGCCAAGGTTGTGGCTGGTTCCTGCTTGTAGTGCTTTCCTGTCACCCATCATAGCTTCAATTGTATAAGTACAAGCGGCACCAGCAAATGTTTCAGCCCTTGATTTCCTACCTACAATGACAGGTATTGCAGCTTGCTCATAAGCAAATTTTGTATAGACATCAATCATCTGTAGTGCCTGCAACACAGAGATATAAAGCTGAATGAATAAGCAATAGAAATTCGTTACAGTGAAAGGCCATAAACTTAAAGACAAACCTCCTTCTCTGCCTCTTCAGGTGTTGCATGAGCTGTGTGGCCCTCCTGCCATAGAAACTCAAGAGTCCTTATAAATGGCTTTGTCCTCATTTCCCATCTCGTAACGTTCGCCCACTAAAGAATAGAATATAGTAGTCCGTGAGGAGATTGATAAAAGATTGACAATGTTAAGGGAACTTCAGAAATCACAATTGACTCTAACCTGATTAATCATGAGAGGAAGTTCACGATAACTCTGAATCCACTGTGTAAACATGTGATTTACAATGGTTTCACTTGTTGGTCGTACCTGCCAGACCCTCAAAAATGGAAGTAACATCATTAAGGTCTAGCATCAAACATAGACTTCTGTTTGAAATATTAATTCCCACTAATCTTGAAAAAGAAAAACATGAGTTGAAAGATAAAACAGTTGAAATATAATTTCGGTAAACGTACCACAAGTTTTTCTTCAAGTTCCTTTCCTCCTCCAATGGTAACCAGTGCTAGCTCTGGACTAAAACCTTCAACATGGCTTGCTTCCTTCTCTATAAATGAATATGGTATAAACTGCATCAAAAGAAGATAAAATGTGTTCAGATACCCCAAAATAAAGCTCAATTAACGCCATTAAATAACACAAGCATAGACGCATTCTTCTATGAGGATGGGTTGGGCAACGGAGCACGAGTTGCACGATACATACAGCTACAAAAGCTCCACATTCTTAGATGAGCTGCCAGAGAGCCCCAAAACCTCCAACATATTAAATCTTGGCGAGAAGGCTATACAAAGAACCTTGGAAACAACTAGATAGAAAGATTGACCTACCTTTCTTGACAATGCAGTTTAAGCTCGTGCAACCAAGGAGCATGCCTCCAAATGTTCCTAGACCGTGAAAATTCTATATGATAGTCAGTAAAATTTGCTATAATAAGAATCGCAATTCTTTTGCGATATAAATTAAGACAGACAATCCAAAGGGATCAATACTATGTCCTAATTAGAGCCAACTTCCTAACCTGAAGAAGCCTTCTTCCTATCTTGAGGCTGCCGAGGGGGTTTCTATTAGAAGTGTCACATCAATGCTTTTTCCTTGACAATTTGGCGCCTTAACACGTTTTCTCGTGGCTCCCATAGCAAACAAAAAAAATAAACAATCGAAAACACCTCTCCATCATTTGCCCCTTCCATTTTTTATCCAAGTACCACCATAACCTCGTATAAAGCCCAAAGCCATATCACGCTCAGGCTGACCTCTACTCTCCTTAAAAGGCCGTGCCAACCTCAATGCATAATCCCTGACCCCTAAGATTGTGCCCCTTCGGTTCTCTTGTGACAAGAAAAATGTAACCTTCTATCTTCTGTCCCTAACTCCGACAGACTACAGAGAAGTAATACTCCCTCACCGCAGCAACCATCGTGCCACCAACTGAGACAAGGTTGCCATCAAGCCCTCTCTGCCTCATTCTGCCAAAAACATGGTAACTATCGAGTAGCATCCTTAAAAAATAGACTGATCAAAGCCTAACATATGATATGATGAGTTTTCTTTACTTGAACCTTCTTCCTACTGCTATGTTTGTATCCCAGACCCTAATATTTGGCTACATTTCTAAAGCCTACATATCCCCTTGTCTAAGACTCTGCTACATGTCCCCACACTCCATGTCTGAGACCTAGCCATCTGAAATGTCGCCATGTTTGAATCAAAGTTCCTAGATATAATGTGGGTGTTCAGATTATCATTGTGTCTAACCAGTTCCTTCTGACTAGATGCTGACTGATAGTCTATTAGTCAAGTCGATAAAAATGTTGCAAATTCGTAATGAGATAATTAATTGCTACAGATCAGAAAGATTATTAGGGATGGTTAGATTGGTGATCTTTTCACTGAGGCATTATCCAGGAAAAGTTTTTGAGTTTTATATAACAAGAAGAACATGGAAAATATAACTTGGGGGGGTATCAGAGTAGCTAGTGCATCGGACGAATTTGCTTTGTTCCAGCATTGAGAAACTATACAATTGCATCCTATTTGTTTTCCTATAGATATTATCTCAGCATCACTCTTTGTGAGTCACCTTCCAAACATAACAGCCATGAGATTAGTACTGATACGTAAGACCAAAGAATTATCGCCGATCCCATTTCCGTGTAAGCTAAGTGAATGACTTTGATAGGACAGCTAACAAGATTCAATTAGCTCAAAATTTAGTTGAATTGATTAATCTTAATATGTATGATATTTTTGCTTTCACATTTTGGACTAGAGTCCAATGAGTAGAATTTTGAGTGGATTTTTAATCTACTTCTAAATATAATAAATAAAGGTATCATGTAAATCAAACTAGGAAAGACAGTTCATATTGCAATTGCATGCAAACACACATTATAGTTTATGCATATTTGACTTATAGATCAGAGTCTGACAAATAGAACTTTGATTGGACTTTCAATCTACTTCTTAATATAATAAATGAAGGTGTCATATAAATCAAACTAAAAAAGAGAGTTCATAATGCAATTGCTTGCAAATGCACATTGTAGATTATAAATACTCCATTTGTATTCAGATAGCAGTTATCTCCCACAGCTAATAAAAAATCTATAACCTGTGCTCAAGGAAATACCAATGGTTTTAGAATCCAACATTTCATGTAGACAACATACACCCAAAATTCTCATCTCCCGCTTAAAAAAGCATTACATAATAAACTCCCAAAATGAACACAGTTGAGCTTAAAGAAGAAGTTACACACCTGAGGAAAGTACATGTTGCTGTGTCCAGTCTCCTTAAACCTCACATTCAAGTAGTCCTTAAAAAAACAAAAAAGTAAATTAAATTCGAGATAAATGATAGAATTAAAATGGAGTAAACAATATTTCCTACATTGGACTATTTTATCCAACTAATATACATCTAGCAAATATGCCCCAGTAGTAAACAAAACGCAATCCTCATGCTCGGAAACAATTAGAAGAGTACAATTTGGCGGGAAAGTTAGCTCCTAAATTGTCAAAGACGAAAACCTTTAGCGATTAAGAAGTAACAAGTAGTAATATTATACCTGAATTGATTCCCAAATAGCATAACCATAGGGACGAATAACCATCGTCCCGCGAACTGGCCCATAATCAGCGAGCTCAGCACTGGCAATGACATCGAGATACCAAGCGTTGAAGTCCACCGATCTCGGAGTCACCGCCCCCTCTCGATTCGACAACGACTTCCGATCCTCC